TGGTATCGGTTATGATGCCATGTGATCTTCTATCATCTTTGATCTGCTTCTACCAGTTATTAGTTAGTTGGCTAGTTACCATCTCTACCATGTATATATATCCTTTGCTGGTGTGGGCATGTCCCCCAGCTTTGCTATCAACTTGGTTTTGTGTCAGAGACCGGGTCGAGACGAGGGAGTGTCTCTGTGATGGAGGGCTTCAGCCTCAGCGACTTATGCCAGGAGCGCTGTGCCTAGTAAACACATCCATGCCCTAACTTACTAACTGGCCACCAGAACTGAAGAGGGTAAACTCTAGTCGATTTTATTACTGGAGTGTAACCTATGTACAAGTGTAGTATATATAGTTACAGTGAGAGCGGGTCCGCAAATGGTGGAGCGGAGCTAACGGGGTTTAGACATTAGCCGATTGAATATTACCGACGAGTCGGGTTACGGGGTTAGCAGAAAGGCAGGCGATAACCCAGAAATGGAAAGGAGGGATAGGCCCGAAGGTGAGCTTGCAGGGCAAGCAAGTGTATTGCCCAGCGGAGGCAGGAGTGCACTAGCGGACGTCAGAGCTGTCCGGAAGCCTTCGGGGCTCTGTACTTAGGGAGGCGTAGGTAATAAATTGAAAGGAGGGGGTGGTGACCATCGAGGGGTACTGAGGGGATTGTGGAATACGGGAGCTCCAAGGTTAGTGAGGAAGGAGTGGAAGTGGAACGGAGGGATCGGAGGTTGATGGCCAGGGATGGATATGACATTTTGGGGGCATCCTTTGTTGCGAGCATGCACGACCCTGACACCTCAGCCCCAGGTGACATACCCGGACGCTCTCGACCCCAGGTTGGTCCCTGACAGTGCCACCGCTTATGCTATGCCTGGAAGCCTGCTAACTCTTTTGCTCTCATTCACATTGCTGCCTTCACATCATTTATGCTACAATCCATTCACCCCTTTCACACTCCCTCCACTTCCTTTCACACTGCCATCCTCGCTCCACCTCCCACTTGCACTGCATGCCAGATGTTGAATCAACTGATTACAAGTCAAGTGCGTCCATCTGCTGTATTTCCCCTGGGAGGATGTCCACCTTGCTGTGGTCCAGGGGCTACCTCATTAAGACCAAAGAGCCACCACCTGAATGTGGCTAGGGCTGGAGGTTGAGGTTCCAAGAGGCATCCAATAATAATAAATGTAACATATAATGATTGTCATATCCGTGCATACCCGACCCCGACCCGACTTCCGGACCTCCACCCTCTTCACCTCCAGAGTCATACCCTACCGCTGCCGTTCCGATACTCACCTCCGGTCCTGGCAACACACCTCCTCCTACCCCCCACGCCACCTCTGCTCCTCCTTCCCTTGCCTCCCCTATCTCCGTCCGCTCCGATACTCACCTTCGGACCTGACAACTCTCCTTTCCACCACTCCTTCCCCCTTACCTTTCTCCTCTCTCCACCCTCTGGTACTCTTCCGCCACCCTCCCGCCAAGTTACGACCTTCCACCGCTGTCCCGTACTTCGTACTCGGACACTGCTTGTACCTTTGCTCCGAGCCTCTGTCATAGTCCCTGCCTCGGACTTTGACTCCACCTCGGTCTTAGTCCATTGCATTGGTGACCTCATACTACGTAAACACCATTGCCAATATCCCTTGGACTTTCAACCCCGCCTCCGTAACCTCCGTAACCTCTGCAACCCCCAAGCTTCGTGGATCGCCTTCGGCACTTTCACCGCTTGTAATGTATCTCTCGCCTTTACCCCTCATCCCTATTTGGACTACTGCTTCTTTCCATTCTAGCCAGTTAGTCATCATCCCCACTTCTCCTCATCCTCCTGCCCCTCTGGGCCTCGCCCTCCCTACCTCCTTTCGGACGTATCACAGGTCCTGCCTTATGACCTTCGGTACCGCTCCGCTTCCTCTACCCTTTGTTCCCGTTTGGACGTCTTCGTTCCGATTCGGTTACCCTTTGTTTTCCTTGTGCTTTGCCCCCTCCATTATATATATCGGCGCTTGTACATACTCGTTTGGGTTCAGTCCGAAATCGACCTGAAATGCCCCCTAGAGACTTCCTGCTCACCTACTGTGAAATTAAGGACCAAATGGACAAACAGCAATGGCACAGCGCTCCACTTGAGTCGCTGAGGCCAAGGTCCCTCCATGCTAAGTCTCCGATTCCACTCCGGAGTCGTCTGTATCTGCCGGTTCTAACAGATAAATATAGTAATAATAATATAAACATGTTACTTGTTACTTGCGAGAACCTATCTGACCTCTGTTACATCTTTTGAGACCTCTAACTGATTCACACTCATTCCTTTCAACCTTTGTCTCTCACTTTCTTCTTCTTGCATCTGTGATGCTTATCCATTATTTAGGTTTTGGAACTACTGTACCCCCATGACCAATTACCAGCTGAGGTTCTGAGTGTGACACAAAATAGTCAACCAGCTTCTCCTTGTGATGTGTGACAAGCAACCGGAAAGGTTGGTGTGACACTACTGACACTGGAAATGTCCAACTAGCAAATTTTCTTGTTGATACATTTTATGCCAAAAAAAACTACTTCCTCGCAGTCATGGACAGCTTTTGTCAGAGACCAGATTGAGACAACATCAGCAAACCCCCGAAGTTGATAAAAGTGATAGGAAGCACTTTAATCACCTCTATTTGTCATACCAATGTAATCTATGCATCAATTGAGACTCAAGCAGCTCAATCACAACAATCTCAATGTACAATTATGTACTTTCCTTCCCATGCATGATATGTGAAACCATGGCTTCAACTAGGTTAGGAAATACGCCTATTTGCATCCGATCAATTTCACAGGTTGGCTCCGAATGAATAGCTTCGTGGACTTAACATTTTTTTCACTTGGTGATGGTGACATGGCTCTTATGCATCACTTCTAGTTCTCCAGGTAGGTCCCTTATATTTCTTTCATAGTACATATTTTCCAAGTTACTCATAGCACTCTATGCATAATTACAGGTTGTACAAGCTGCTCAGCCATGTCTGGTGAGTGCTACCCATTAGTACATGTTCACGCACTAATCCCTCATCACCTAAGGGACCTGATAACTTGCAGAATCACCCATCCCACAACTCCTGAATCCAACCATTCCCCAAGCCCCCCATGTCCGACACACACCTGGAATCCTTTGATGAACTGGGCCTTGCCCCTTCAACTTTGTTTACATTTTGTATTATGTATTTATGCACAGTACATAGAGATCGTGAAATCTGAAATATCACTGCAATCACCCCTGAATTTTAAGTTGGAATTGACTCGATATGGCCTCTTGTAATCAGGGGGCCTTCTAGAATGATATCACAATAAAAATGATTTCTATCATTTCTATCAACTTCGGTGGTTTGCTGATGAAAGGAGTTGTCTCTGTGGCAGAGGGCTTTGGTCTCAGCAACTCAGACCAGGAGCACTGTGCCAAGTTACACATCCATGCCCTTATTTACTTACTGGCAACGAGAACTAAAGGGGGATCAACTCTAGTCGATTTTATCACTGAGGTGTAACCTATGTACAAGTTAAGTATATATAGTTGCAGTGAGGGCAGGCCTGTGAATGGTGGGGCCAAGCGGAGTGGAGCTAACAGAGTTAAACATTAGCCGATTGAATATTACCGACAAGTTGGGTTACGGGGTTAGTGGAATGGCAGGCAATACTGTACTCACACGACCAACTACCGCATCAATTCGGAGCGTGACACAAATTTTTGCGAGGATGCGAGCCGCAAATTCATTTTGATGTGTGACACCCGGCCGCTCGCGTGACAATTTGCCCTTGGTGAACTCCAGCCATAGTCATTTAGTCATGTGAGTTACTTATGTCAGGCATCAATATTAATAATATACAATGATAATTATGAAATAAATCACTTTTGAACTGCCGGTCACATTTGGCAAGCATCAAAGATGACAAATACGAAAACATGCTTTTTGGGGTGCCTCCCAAAAAAATCCCCCCCCCCCCCATTGCATTATGGATGGTTTTTCCCTTGCACGCTGTAATGGGTCTATCACCACTAGACTCGAGACAGAAGAGAGGGGGAGGGTTGGAGTGGTTGCATGCACAGGTTTGTTGACTTGGAGTGGATTCTGCTACTCCTCACTGTCTAGCTAACTATACAGCTGGTCACGGTATCACGGAAGAGTCTGATAATGACAAATAAGGAAAGAACAATGAGAAGGGAAACATCAGGTGGAAATGGAGTCAGAAAAATCAGGAAAAATAAGAAATGTGTAGGAGGGAACATTGGCTAAGGGTGGTAGAATCGCGGGATTTGGCTTGTTTATGGTACACCAGCAAATCCCCGTTACAATGCCAAATTTCTTCCTGCACAGATGAGCCCATCCTATATACTGGTATCCCAAGTGCACTCATAGGACCCTACATTCCCAGGGAAACCCTGCCTGTCTCCGAGTTTCTCCAGTTCAGGCTCCCATCTCTCCAAACAAGTCTGGATTCTATATCTGCAAGTCTTAGCCATTGCCCACCCTCAATTGAAGACATTACCGAATGTGACCTCCACAGAATGGCCCACCCAACCCACCCCATAATTAATTTTTTAATCTCCAAACATGATCCTAACCAGGACAACCCTCCGTGCTCCGTCAAAATTGGCAACCGATATATCCCAATTAACATTCTCCAGATCTGGGAAGTAATCTTCCAAATACAAGGTGTTCAGAAACTGTGGAAAGAGTCAGAAGTGCACATTAAACGATTGGCAAACTGTCATTCTACTCACCATCTCACTATCATGGCTGCCTGGAAACGGCTCCTGTCATATAATTGGAATACCAAGGTCCTGGGATTCTCGAAATCAATTTTGAGTTCCATTGGGGGACTGATACGCCACCTCACCTTCTCCTGCCTGGTGACCACCAATATCTCCTACCATATTGAGCTTTTGGAACATGCCTTAGAAGCCAGTGAGATAAAGGCTAGGCTCTTCCGACCCATTGATATTTAGTATCTGGTTGGGTGCGTCATGCAACAGGATGGAAATGGTTTGGAACGATACCGCCATGATCAGACCTGCCAAACTCTCCGGCAGTTTGGTATTGAGCTTGCATCAGGATCCGTATCTCAATTTGGTGGAATTACGCACATTAATAATAACCATTGGATTGCATTCCTCATCTCCCCTGTTGAATCCACTATCTATGTTGCCGATTCCTTACGCCAGCCAACAGAAGACAATGGGCTATCAGTTGCAGCACGAGAGGCAGTTGATGTTCTTCAGTGGTGGCTGGCCACATCATATTCGAGTCCAAATAAATCAGTGTTGCCATTTCAGATTGCGTGGCTGCCAATTGCTTACCAGAAAGACTCCATTTCATGTGGCCTCCTGGCCCTCAATGTTCTAATGCATCATCTAATCCCGACAAAATACTCCCTTTGTACAAACAACAATATGGTTATGCTGCATGTCAAATTCCTGACATCAATCCTTGATCATCATGACAAACTGGTAAGTGGCCATGTGCAGCAATGACAAAAAGGAAACTTACCGCTTCGTGAACAGGCTTCAGGAACAACCACTCCAGTGACAATACGAATGCCAGTAGCAGCGACCCCAGATGCAGTAATTGGGCCAACCGTGGTGCCGGCCCAAGAAACAATGGCACCACCACCCATGGCATCCCTGCAAATGGGTGCCGCCACAGTAGAAATGGTCTTAGGGACCAAGGCCAAATTGCTCAAGCAGTCGACAATGTTGCCAATCAAGGTAACAACAATATCAGTGCCAAGGAGAATTGAAGTGGCGGTTGAACCAACCCACCTGACAAGTGCCCCCAAAGTGGTGGGTATACCATCCAATAAAAGAATGGGGGTGAAGTGGAAGCTCGTCCTTGCCTCCCAAGAGGATAGCAAGGCACATGGATTGCTCGGCTACCCCAGACATGTTAGCCACAAGGAATTTGAGCTGCAAAGTGCAGCTGAGTACGAAAGGATGGCCCAAAGATGTGAGGAGATGGATAGGAAGGAGAAGGTGGCCGCAATGAGGAGGGTGGAGAAAAATCGAGCATTGGCTCGGGTTCGACAGCAATGCCACCGGGAGAAGTTGGCAATTGAGTGCGGCATTATCAAAAGAAGAGTAAGTCATTAGTATGTATCAAGGAATGGTTTCTAATAGGAAGACATCTAGCACCTGCTTGATGCAGCAGGCGCTTCGGGCAGTGGTAATGGAGACTCAGTACCGGTGTAGGAGAAATAATATTCAAAGAATAAAACAATGATCTATCAGAATAGTCAACAAACAGGTGACAAGTTCAGATGTTTAACAGATCTCATGATCTTTATGAGACTGGACAGACATTAGAAGATCATTATAAATTATCTACACCCATGTAGCATGAGATTTAATCTACTACAAGCATGCCTAGAACCTGGCATAGGTGTAATATTCAAAGAATATATCCCTACAACAAGAAAAAAGCACATAGACGGCAGAATAAGAAGGAACATTGGGAAAGAAATGTGAATATCTCGGGAACCAGTAAACTTTTGACTGTAATCTTTTTACCATCTGAAAGAACTGTTTCTTCACTTTACCCACGGTTTTGTTTCATTCTAAAAGCTTCAAAACTGACGGAGATATTGCTCAAACGGCGAAACACCTTATAATTCATATATATTTATTTGCTAATTCTTACAAAAAGTAATGTGACTCAAGGGAAATATATTGGCGCCCGGAAGTCTGGCGGACCGAATACCATATGATAGAGTATTCTCCGGCGCGGGCGGACAGTTTTTGATCGCATCAGAAGAGGAGAAAATGCTAAAAAAGCGGATCTTGTATATTTTCCCATGATTCATCAAAACTTTTTGATTTTAAGCTCAAATAAATCGGAACAAAGGAATGATTGATGATCTGGATCTCGGATCATAAGCATGAAGTGATTCAGAAGTCCGCGGATCGGTTAATTAATTGGGAAGGCTCTAGAACATTAGTAATGATGCGGCTTCACAAAAAGGGGTCAATTAGAGAACAGTCAAGAAAGTTCCTTTATAGCCGAGTCATTTCTAAAGATAACCGTTCGTAATTAAGGCGGTGTAGAGCATAGCTTCAGCGCTACAAGATCCCGCTAAGATCGGCCCAAAAGACAAAGAAATGAATTACTTATTGCTGAGTCATGTCCTAAGTCCATTATTAAGCTTACACAGCCCAAGCCCCTATATCATTCTAGAACTATCTATAATACAAATGTAGCACATGTAACTAGTGCGAGGCATGGGAGTAGAGAGGCCTCTGAAAAGCATAAAAGGCCGCCGCTTCTGCCCCCTCTCAAACCTCAGGTAGAAATAAAAGTTTAATTCTCCTCACCAGTGGTTGGTTCGTTTGCTCCAAAAGATAAATGCAAATATTAGTTGTTAGCTAATATAAAACTAACACGTCACTCTAAGCGTGAGTTAGGGTCAGTTAGACACAGCTGAACAAAAGTGTCATAGTGAGAATTAGTGAGAATTTGGTGGAGGGACTTCTTAATTGAATAATCTCTCAGCAATACTTGGTTATCACACCACAGGAGAAAAGTGAGCGATCCTGAACCTGCTAGATAACTAGCACGCACTCTAAGCGATAGAAAGAGCAGTTTGGTCACTCCTGTATTGAGTAACATTTATTGCGGAATTATTTTATTAGTAGTTTTCCTTCAGTAAATTATCAGGAAAATCACGTCCTACTGAAAAGTGGTATATCTAGGTGTAATATTGACTAGAAATCATAGTAAAGTCAATATAGAATTTTATCCATAGACGATCTATACATCAGGTGAGATCGTTGGGGGTGTTTATTGTTGTTTAGACAGTGAACAATTATATATTTGGCAACCAAAACACAGTCAGTACGCAAATCAGCACAAACTCTAATATCGTTATTGGACGTAGGAAACTGGTTACATAAGGTGATCCAGCTCTGCTCCTTCACTGGTCGCAGAGATGTCGCGCCCAAAGCACGAGATCGACGAATCATCAAAGGAGCGGAGGCACCAGAAGGAAACTCACCAGCCCAAAACAACAGTGAGATATCCGTTGAGTAAGGCATGCAAGTTTGCAAGGGCAACCAATTGGTTCCAACCCATCTTGTGGACGATAATAATCGAAGTAACTGCCACTGTTGGCTGGAGGATGAGCCCTGCTGCAATAGTGAGAGGATGTCAAACGAGGAGCATGAAGTTATTTTACTCACTGCATGCCGATGTTGTTCGCAAATGGATCGACCAGATGGGGTTGCGGCCATGCTGGTCAGAAGAAACACTGGCGAAAGTTGCAAGGGCAAATTGTCCTGGAGGTAACGTTACACAGAAGGGGATATTAGTAAGTCACCAGGATTTTTTTATAGTATTGGATACTTAGCTTGAGCAACACAGGCATCTTATCCTGACACTGTCGCAGCGATCAAAGAGACGCTCTTGAGCATCCGACAAGCTGGTGCCACTCTGGATGCTCACCAAGTCCATGGTGTCATCCTAGCACAGATCCAGCATACCCGGCCTGATATCCTAAGAACGATGGTGAAAAAAGATGGGAGTGTGTTCACTGCAAGTATGGGTTGGGTCCGGAAGTTTCTCAAAGGAGAGATGATGTGGAGCTTGCATTGAGCGACCTGCGCCTCGCAGAAAATACCTGATGATGCCAGTGCAAAAATACGTGCTTCGTTGCTTCACCAAGCCCACTCTGTACGCCAATATGCAATCCCCATCAGTCTACGGGTGAACTCAGATCAGACTCAAGTCATTTACCAACAAAATTCAACTTCTACATATGAAACAAAGGGATCGCACCAAGTTTCCATGATCGGCCACGATGAGAAGCATGCATTCACACTCAATGTGGCAATCTCTGCAAGTGGTACTCTTCTACCGTTCCAGGCCATTTTCCGGGGGAAAACCTCCGTGAGTCTCCCTTCGAGGAGGCTTCCAGGTTACACTGCAGCAATGGATCTTGGATTCATTTTTGAATTTTCTGGGAATGATACCTACTGGGCCAACATTGAGACGATGAAATCGTTTGTAGAGAAAATTCTAGTACCTTATTTCGATGCAGAAAAGGCCTGACTCTCCCTCGATCCACTACAGGAGTGCCTCTGGCAGCTTGACATCTGGCCAGTGCACACATGCCTCAAGTTTCGCATTTGGTTGTATGAAAAGTTCCCATGGATAATTCTCGATTACGTCCCTGGTGGATGCACAGGCCTTTGGCAGCCCTGTGATGTCGGCATACAGCGTGCACTAAAACATGCTGTGAAGCGATCACAGAAGACGGTGGCGATAAAAGAAGGTTACTCACAGTTGCAAAGTGGGGTGGACTCATGCAATGTCCAGCTGGACACTAAGCTTGGAACATTGAGGGATCGTGTTCCCGAGACCCTTGTTCATGCATTCAATACCATGAATCGGCAGGATAAAATCCAGAAGGTGAGTTGATCGGATAGTTTATCATTTTTAAGTGCGCACTGACCATATCCCCAGGCCTTTGAGCTCTGCCACTCAGGCAATTTCAACCTGTCTCATTCCAGCCTAACCAGTCGCCTGCTGTGCCTGGTCCTCGACTCCCTCCCCCAAACTGATCCTGATCTTGCACGTGCGATAAAGCACCCCGGAAGCAACCCTGCGACAATGGTGAAAGGCCCCCAGACTCCAGCTCTGTCATAGTTGAAACAGAGTTCACAGATACTCCGGAGGACGATGCCGATGTCATGGTGGACGGAGTCTTGGGGCGCGTGGCTGGGCACGTGGCGGATGGGCTTGAGGTCGGCGATTATGATGGTGGCCTGCAGGTAATATCGACTTACGCTGAGGAGGCTGGGCCTGATATCCTCCTGGATGAGACTTCCTTGATCCCTTCTTCCTCCGATCTCCAAGACTGTGACCTTGGCTGTGGAAGGCGAGTCAGACAGGCACACAATTTGGAGGAAGAGATGGTGATTTTCAATTTTTGAATGTATTATTTACCAAAAAAGGAAAATTCAAATTGATTTGCATAGCCACCAGGCCAGCATTGGGTTTTTGTGTGACATGGACCGCCTGACCTTTTTCTCAGCATGACGTGTGACAAAGTGGCAATTTGAGCCGGACCTTTTTGTTAGCGTGACACGTGACAGGTAGTTGGTCATGTGAGTACAGTAACCCAGAAACAGAAAGGAGGGATAGGCCCAAAGGTGGACTTGCAGGGCAAGCAAGTGAATTGCCCAGCAGAGGCAGGAGTGCACTAGCGGACATCAGAGCTGTCTGGAAGCCTTTGGGGCTCTGTACTTAGGGAGGCGTAGGTAATATATTGAAAAGAGGGGGTGGTGACCATCGAGGGAGGCGGAGGTGATTGCAGAATATGGGAGCTCCAAGGTTAGTGAAGAAGGAGTGGAGGTAGTCCAGAAGGGTCGGAGGTAGTGGAAGACGATGGCCATGGATGGATATGACAGCTTTTGTTTTTAATTCAATTTCACACAGCCACTTGGGTGCCAAAAAAAATTGTGTGACAAGGATCATTCAACCA